TCTGCGTTTGTCATTTCCAGAAATGACTCATAGACAAAATGGTCAGCAAGTGTCAGGAATTCCCCATGTGTTTTAGCTATCAGTGACCACCTGTGTTTGCAATGATGGCAATGGCTTGCATGGGTGCAGTGGCCCATCTGGGTAGGGCTCATACCATCTTAGCTAGACGCCTGTGCTCTGGTGGCCAGCCCTAACAGCATAATCATTGGTGGCTGAAGGGCAATCCCTTTCTCCTGCTGTTCTGCTGGATCGAGCAGTGTGGGTCTCATTCGTGACAAGAGTCCTGGTTTGAAGGGTCATGTGTTAAATTGTTGGAAATCCAGGGAGATAGGGACAAAATGAAACAAAATTTTGGGGTTTAAATCCCATAACTGAGTTGTTACATGTTACATGTTGTTACATGTTGATTTCTCTAAGCCCTGGGAGCCAGAATTTCAGAGTCTTAGGGTTAGAAAAGGGTCAGGTGGCCAGGAGATGATCAGCCTTTCAGACACTCTGTAGAGATGTGTACTGCAGTAAGTACTGGTATTAATCCAAATAAGAGACTCAGTCATCCCTTACCAAATTGATTTCTAGGAAGTACTAGAGTGTGGGAGTGTATGTGGGGGAGCGTGGGGGGTGAGGACTGTGTCCTCATTTGTACACACAGTAAAAACTAAGATTTATTGTTATCAAATTAGCTCCAAGATGAGAGGAGACCAGCAAACTCCATGATTTTAAGGGTCAGTTATTTCTAAGAACAGTTTAAACATGGTTACTATAATTAAATCTGCCTTTAGGGTCATCTGGCTTTGAAGGTGGGGGCTATTTTCTCTACTACTTTCTTATGTTGCCTCCCTTTAAATATCTGTCCCAGTTAGGGATGAATATGTACTTAGTAAACCCATAGTGGTTAGTACAGAAAGAAAACTCCACATAATAGTTGGAATGAGATTTGCATCCATTATCTTGCAATTGAAGAAGCCCTTGTTTCCCTTCAGTTCAAATGGTCGTACATGACAGTGGCATATTTGTTTTGACTCTTATGAAAAGGAGTTGCTTATCTTTGTGGTACAAGTAACAAGAAGATACAGCTACCTGGGGGCTGGAGATGTAGCTCATTTGATTTGAAGCCATGGGTTCAATCCCCAGCGTGGCATAAATCAGCTCTGAAATCTTAGCACCTGAGAGATGAAGGGAGATTATCTTCAGCTGTGTAGAGTTTGAGGCTAGCCTGGGATACATGAGACCCTGTCTCAAAAACAAAACAAAAAAGCTGAAGGTACCTGGACTTTCCAGTTAGAGTGACTGCTTGGCATTGTGGGTTGCAAGAGAAAGCAAAATAGGGTTTCTGCTTAAAAAAGTTCTGTGACTCCAGCAGGACGGACCCAGAGGGCATGCTGTGGTCAGCTTCATTGGTCAATGTGACACACCCTGGAAGAGGGAACCTCAATTGGGGAACTTCCTCTATTGGATTGGCCTCTATCTTGATTGTTGAATGATGAGAGAGCACTCAGCCCACTGTGGATGTGCCACTCCTGGGCAGGTGGCCTGGGCTATATAAGAAAGGTAGCTGAGCACAGACAAGAGGACCAAGCCAGTGAGCAGCGCTCCTCCATGGTCTCTGCTTCAGTTCCTGCCTCCAGATTCCTGATTTGAGTTTCTGCCTTAACTTCTTCTCTCAATGATGGGCTGTTACTTAGAAGTGTAAGATGCAATAAACCCTTTCCTCCCTGAATTGCTTTGGGTCAGTGTTTTATCATGGCAGTAGAAAGCGAGTAGGACAGGGCACAGCAGCGCCTCTGGAGCACGTCCTTTGGGTGAGAGACAGTGATGAGGAGAAAGGCTGAGGTAGGCCACTTGAAGGCTGCTGGTGAGGCTTCCCTGATGAGAAGGGAAGGAGGGTTGACAGGTTAAAGCTACTGCAGGTGCCTTGCAGAGTGGTTTTGCATTTACAATCTTACAGTAAGAACTGCTTTTTTTTTTTTTTGAAACAGGGTCTCCCTGTAGCCCCAGCTGTCCTGGAACTCACTATGTAGACCAGGCTGGCCTCGAACTCACAGACATCCACCTGCCTCTGGCTCCCGAGTGCTGGGATTAAAGGTGTGCGCCACCACACCCGGTAGAACTGCTTTCTCAAAATACATTTTATGTGTTTATTGTGTGTCACTGTGTATCTATGTATATTGGCGTGCATGTGGAGGTCAAAGGGTAACTTTCTGGAGTTGATTCTTTCCCTCCACCATTTGGATCCTGGTGATTGAACTCAAGACCCCCAGTCTTGTTGGCAGGCATCTTTACCTGCTGAGCCATCTTGCCAGCCCAAGAATTGTCTTTTTTCTTTA